TTCTCTTTTCTAAAAAGAGGTAGGTTCTATCCCCCCCGGACTTATCGATTCCCCGGGAACCCATTCAAAACACATATATATATATATATATATATATATATATATGTATGCTTCTGAGTCAATGTCCATCCTACCTGTGAGTTATACAATCCAAGCCAGGCCGGTATCGCCCCCCCCCCCACCACCTTCGGTTCCCTGGCCAAATCATACTATGCGCGCGCACTCGTTTGTCACAAAGCATAAGTTTGCAACAATCCTTTGCAACACATGGGACGAAGTGCGCACGCGCGCTTCGTCGCGCGCGCATGCCGAAATCCTTCCCAAACCGTCGGTTTCGGAAGGTTTTCAAAATCGAATGTCCAACACACATGCAAAAACGTTGGGTTTCGCAAAACGGACTTTCAGCAAAGGCGTGCGCGCGTGCTCTTGCGAATTCTTAAGAAAACCGCACGTTTTTCAGCATTTTCATAACCTGCTACCAAGCGGACTTCGCGCGCGCGCATTTCGAAGTCGTTCGAACGCCCTTGCGCGAATGTTGGGGTGGCACGACCCGTGTCAAATAATACCATGCGAGCCACTCTCGCGCGTCTGCCGCGCGCGCATTTTGAATTCCTTCCAAAACTTTCATTTCCGACGCGAAGACGCCGTCATCGTCGTCGGCGTGATCGGCATCGGCGCCGTTACTGGCCGTGCCGTCGTCGCTGTCAGTATCGTCACCAACATCGCTACTATGACCATGATCATGTCTACAATTGTCGACTTTGCCATGATACCGCACCCGCCCAAGTCGCCGAGTCGCACTCAGGTGCCCGCTGGGATGTGCCGAGCGGTCAGCACCACCGCGGCCGCGTCGCTGCGCGCACGTGCATGCGCGCGCTGGCGCGGCCGCAGGGATGCACCAGCCAACGCCAAGCACTCATCGCAATCACCGCCGCATGAGGTTTGCAAACAAAGTTGCGGGTGGGCGGGTGGGATATTTGCGCGAGCAGTGGAATGGACAACTCATTAAGAACAACAATTAATTGCACCTAGTACATTGCCGTTTCAGTTATCACCGCATATTTATCACCGCGTATTTTGCGTCACATAAATTGCACGACATGTATTGCACCACGTGGAGTGCACCACACACATGGCACAACATGAATCGCACGACATATGCGGCACAGCATAGAATGCGCAGCACATGTCGCAGCACATTTATTGCACCACGTACATTGCTGCGCGCACATGACACCCCATGTATTTCATTACACATGTTGTTCTTCATAAGTTGCACAACCCTATTTGGCTAGAAGCACATTGTTCTGGATTCGCGCTGGCTAATATGCTATATGCTTTCCAATTGAAGTACAACCTTCGGGGTTCGCACTTGGTTCTTCACAAGGGGAAAGAATATTGGATCTCCAAAGTGTGTTGTTGCCCTTAACATTCCCTCCCCTCATTGTTTTTTGAAGAATCGCGCTCCTTCTTAGGATTCCCCTGCATTTTACCTCCAGGAATCGCGCTCACGCGTGGGACTTCTTAGCGATTTATTCAGGCGCCGCGCCCCCGACACTTAGGAATCACGGTCTCGCTCTCGACTCTCGCACGCTTTACTAGGTATTCGCGTTATCGCTCTAGATTTCCCGGCGATTCCTGCTTCAGCGAGCCGCCCGCTCGACCCACCCGTCTGGGTCCGCCCGTCCGGCGCGCCTGTTACGGACTGCAGCCGCCCCTCCCTGCCCCTAGCCCTTCTTCGACGGCCCTCGCTGCCCTTCGTGGTTCAGTCGCCTTTCGCGGCTCCGTCGCTGCCCTCGTGTCCCCCCAGATGCCCTTCGTGGGCTCCCTTCCCGCACTCCTTGTCTTCTCGCTTTCTCTTTTCCTGCCTCCCCCCTCTTCTTGTTTTAGGGGCTGCGCCAGCTAAGGAGGATATACCCAGAAGAAGGTTACGATCGAAGACGAAGAGGGCGGGTGCCGAGGGTTGGGGATATACATTTAATATCAATATGCTTGTTGTTGTTGATGCTGCTGATGATCACGTTGCTGAGGCTGACGATGATGATTCTGCCCATGAGGAGGATGAGGTTAAATGTTGATGGTGATCATGCTGCTGATGCTGATGATGTTATTATGCTGATGTTGCTGCTGTTGATGATGCTGCTGATGTTGTTGTTGATGCTGATGCTGATGCTGATGATGAGGATGAGGATGAGGAGGAAGAGAAGGAAACGGCTGATGATTCAGATGCTGTTCGTCATTAATTCCATGGTGATGAGATGGTAATGGTAATAATGGCGATGCTGGTGCTGTGATAATGACCTGCTGCTGCTGGCCTGGAGGGGGATCTGGAACCTATCGGAGGGGTCGGCCCCCCCCCCCTCGGAAAAAATAGGGGGGGGGTCCAGGACCCTCTCCCCTCCCGCAAAATTTGTCTGTGTGGGGGGGTCCGAACCCACCCCCGGGAAAATCATGCGGGGGTCCACAACCACCCCCCTCCGGCGACGGCGACGATGACGACGACGCACGACGCACGATGCACGACACACGACGCACAACGCACGACGCACGACGACGCCAGCGCCGACGCCGACGCCGACGCCGACTCCGACGCTGACGCCATCGCCGACGCCGACGACGACGACGACGAAGATGACGCACGACGTAACACAGCACGACGCACGACGGCGCCGACGCCAGCACTGGCGCCGACGCCGGCACTGACGCCGACGAAGACGACGACGACGACGCCGACGATGACGCTGGCGACGACGACGCCGACAACGACGACGACGCCGCCGACGACGACGACGACGACGGTGCCGACGACGACGACGTCGTCGTCGACGCTGATGACGATGACGACGACGGCGAAGACGAATATAACGAAGACGACGACGACGTTGAGCAGAGAGAGTATGCGTAGTGTGAGTACTTATCATGAGTGAGAAGAGAGTATAGTAGAGTCGGTAGAGTAGGGTGGGTTCAGGTAGCTTGAAATATCATAGTGTAGAGTAGAGTAGAGTTGAGTAGGGCCATGTTGATCATATCAGAGTAGGGAAGGAATACAGTAGAGAAGAGTGTATGGATAGAGTAGAACATACCTATAGTAGAGTAGAGCAGAGCTGAACTGGGTAGAATAGGAGTAGAGTAGAGCAGAGTAGAGGAGAGTAGAGTAGGAACACATAAGAGTAGTGATGAGTAAGTCGGGGTACGGTATGGTCGAGTATTTTATTCAATCGAACGCCCCTGAGGGGGCAAACACCGCCGTCACACTGTTTTCCGGAACCCAGAGTTTCTTTGTGGGGGGGGTCGTGGCGACGCCAGAGGGTCCAGGAAGGCTCGGAGAGCGGCGTAAGAGGTGGGCCAGAAGCTTCAGGGGCGCGGGTGGTGGGCGTGGTGGTAGTTGTGTTGCTGCCACAGACCGGCGGCCGTCGCTTTTTGGGAACGTGGGGAGTTTGGGAGGCGTGTGGAGGAGAAGGGGGGGAGTTGAGGAGGTACTACAGTGCGGGAGGGGCGGGGATCGAAGACGGCCCCAGAGGGTCTCTAGACACCCCGCTGAACTTGCGTACCAGAAGGCGAGAGGGGGGTCTGAGACAGCCCCTGTTCCAACTTGGCGTGGAGTTTGGGCGAGGGGGCGAAGACGGCCCCAGAAGGCCGAAAAAGACGCCAAGAAGGGTCCAAGAAGGCCACTACGGGGCCCGAACAGGCTCGGAAGACGGCCCAAAAGGGTACCAGAAGGTGTCGAAAACGGCGGAGCGAACCGAAGAGGGACACGGAGAGCCAGAAAGGAACACTCCCACGAGTTTTTGGAGTCTCGGAAGGCTCTCCAGGGACCCCCTGGGCGCGGCGAAGACGGCCTAAGACGGCTCCAAAAGGGCGGCCAGACGGCCGAAGATGGGTCCGGGAGACCTTCAGGACGGCTCAGGAGGCCTTATAGAGAGTCCAACGTGACCAGAGAGGCCGCAAGAGTGGCGCAAGATGCTGCAACAGAGCTCCAAGAGGCGCAAAGAGGAGGCCGAAACGATGAACGTCAAATATCAAACGGTTTTTGAAGGTTTTTGGCTCCTCAGTTTTTCGCCTGAGCATGCCATCTTGGGCCATCTCGGGCGCCTCTTGGGCTGTCTTGGGGCCATCTTGGGCCGTCTTGGGGCCCTCTTGAAGGCTTCTTGGGCCGTCTTGGGACGGTCTTGGGGGCCCCTTGGGCCGTCTTGGAGCGCTGGGAAGCCGAACAAAATAAGAAACATCGTACATACCAAAATGTTACGTCTTCCGAGGAAAGGGGGCGATTGTTGCATGTTGGGGCCCTCTTGGAGAGCCTCTGAAGGCTCTCCTGGAGCTTTTCGCGGCGTATGCGGCCGTCTGAAGGCAATCTTGGGCGTCTTGGACCGATCGGTCGGCGACTCGGGACCTTCTTGGACCGTCTTGGGGACTCTTGGGGCCCAGAAAAACCATCTCTGAGTCGGACCGGCCGGGGTACTTTTCGTCCAGGGGTTCCCAGAGGCTTCCACGCGCGCGCGAACTAGAAGTATTGCTAACCTGTGACCGGGGTAGAGTAGTTTATAGTAGAGTAGGGCAGAGTATGTAGACCAGGGATATTAGAGTAGAGTAGAGTAGAATAGAGTAGAGTAGAGAAGGAGTAGAGTAAAGTAGAGTAACATCAAAGTGTAGTATGATAGAGTAGAGCACGTCAGGCAGGACAGAGTAGAGTAGGGTAGAGTAATGTCAGCTCGTGCTTAACAAATGGCTACCCCCCCTCGGCTGATGAATAGACCCCGTGAGGTGCGAAACTTCTTTTGAATCACGCGCGCCTGGGGGTCGTCGCTGGCGCCGCCGAGGGCATCGTGTCCCCACCTGCATGACAGTCTTAAAACGATTGCCTCCCGGGGTTGGGGCGACGGTGGGGGGGTTACGGGGTCGGGGCGACGATTGCGCCTCAGAAGTTGTTGTAGGGCTCGGGGCGACGGTGGTGCAGCTCGTCGACGAGGCGCGTGCGAGGGCGCGCGAGCAGCGCGGCGGAGCACGCTAGCAGCCCTCCTCGTGCAGCCGCCTCGCTCGTGTTCACGATCGCGGAGGCGGTCGGGACGTGGCGGCCTCGTGGTGTCGGCCATGCTCCCATTTGGTTCGGGGTGCACCAGGCAATATCCCCCCTCCCCTCAGGAGGTGCCCCTGCCCCTTGGCAGGGGGGGCAGTTTTCCAGGACGAGCACTGCTCAGCGGAGGAATCCAAAAAGTCGTCGAGTACAGCGGGCTTGCGCAGCACGCCCCCCCCCATAGGGACCCCGCAGTGCGTTGTCGTCGTCGTCGTCGGCGTCGCGTCGTCGTCGCCGCCGCCGCCGCCGCCGTCGTCGTCGTCGTCGTCGTCGTCGTCGTCGTCGTCGTCGTCGGCGTCGGCGTCGAACTCGGACTACAGCGGGCCTGTGCAGCCCCCCATAGGTATCCGCAGTGCGTCGTCGTCGTCGTCGTCGCCGCCGCCGCCGCCGTCGCCGTCTGCCGTCCGCCGTCCCTCGTCGTCGTCCTCGTCCTCGCCCTCCTCGTTATCTTCCTCGTCTTTGTCCTCATAGTCGTCGTCGTCGTCGTCGTCGTCGTCGTCGTCGTCGTCGTTGTCGTCGTCCACGTCGTCCACGTCGTCGTCGTCGTCGTCGTCGTCGTCGTCGTTGTTGTGGTCGTCGTCGTCGTCGTCGTCGTCGTCGACGACTACAGAGACCACGACAGAGCGGTCTTTTCTCGGGTCGGGCGAAAAGCTGGGGAAGGAAAGGGGGGGTGCGTTACCTGCTGCGCGCAGCTGGTTTAGGTCGCCCCGCCGTTGGGCCAGTCCTCGATGCATGGCCGCTGTCGGCGCCAGGGGGCATTCGGAAAATCAGCAATGTGAGCTGCTGGGCAAATCCCCGTCTGGCCACGCCCCACTTTCGTCCAGCCCGCCTTGCACGCGGGCCCGCGAGGCAGCTGGCTCCCTCCTGGCTGCGGCCAGGGCGAAGGAAACGCATCGGTTCGACAGACTAGAGCATGGAACGTGCGGGGCGAGCGCTGACAGCAGATTTTGGTCATTTCGAACAGGTGTCGCCCTGGCGCACGGTCCCTGCTTCTGCCGCCTTTGCGTCCTGCCCCCTCCCCTCCCCTAGTCTATGCTGTCTGTCGCCTTCCCGCTGGCGGCTGGGCGCCGGTGCTAACCTCCGGCGCCGCCGCCGTTGATTTTCATTTTGGCGGGCACCACCCCACGATTCGTCCGAGCAGGGACACTATTTTTAAAACACGTGCCCCCCACATATCTGTTAATCGCACATTGACATTCGAGTAGTGCAAATAGAGTCGAGTACAAAAGGGGTAGATGGGCAGAGTTGGGCATCACCATCGTAGAACAAAGCTGAGCATAGTAGAGTAAGGTAGAGTAGAGTAGGAACAGCATCGAGTATAGTAGAATTTGTTACGGTACGGTATGGTAGAATAGGTTGAAATAGGGTAGGGCAAAGTAGGGTAGAGTAGAGTGGATCACTAGAGTAGAGTAAAGATAGAATAGAGCAGAGCTGGGTAATAACATAGTTGTCTAGAAAAGAGTAGGTTAGATTACGGTAGGGTGGAGTAGAGTAGGGTAGAGTAGAGAGTGCACTAGAGCAACGTCGAGTAGAGTAGAAAAGGTCAGAGTAGCGTAGATCTTAGTCGGGCCACCGTCCGATCCTGAAAGAGTTACGCCGTCCCTAGTAGCATTCTAGCAGAGCTGGCGCATGGCACGGACGTTGGCAACAGGTGCGCTGCCGCTGCCTCTGACGTCGTCGTCGTCGTCGTCGCCACCGCCGCCGTCGCTGTCGCCGTCGCAGTCGTCGTCGCCACCGCCGCCGTCGTCGTCGTCGTCGTCGTGGTGGCGCCTCGCGCCTACCCGCCCAGGTGTCGAAACCAACGCAGGTGGTTGAACGCTGGGGCGGCGCGCGCCTCTCTCTTACCGCGCGCTGTCTGGCCCGCCTCGACGCGGGCACCGTTGAAACACGTTGAAACACGTTGAAACTGATGGTCACCTCTTGGTGACCATCAGTTTGCTTATCGCAAGTCTTTTCAATCAAATGAGATATCATTTATTCTTAGGATGCTGTGTGAGAAAGCGGTCGAGTTCAACAAGCCTTTTTTTCCTCTTCGACGGGGACATTTTCAAAGCATGCGATACAGTGGCCCATGACGCTTATGCAATGGGATTGCAGCAGGCCAGCGTGGCTCGTTTACTCATTGCGGCGCGCCTGAGGGAAGTGCGCAGAACACAGAGTCGCGTGGGGTTGCCGGGGAAGCCCGTGTCAGAAACTTTCCGTCGTACCAGATCGATTTTTCAAGAGGACCCGGAGGCACCTGTGGATTTTAACAATGTTCTCCATCAGCGGGTTGTTTTTCCTTTCTTGCGGACTTGCGACAGGTATCGATGTGGCGCTGAATCGTCTCACGAAAACCTGGCAGTACTTCGGGACAGTCGTAACGGCGAACCGGCCCCGACCAAAGCGATGCAGGACACGGAGCGTTTGCAGATTCTTCTCTTCGCAGACAACTACTGGCTCCTGGCGCATGCCAACTTCGTGTCATGACGGATTGCTGGCACGGGTTGCTCGCGCAAGCAGGTTTTCGAGTGGAACTCCAGGATTGCGTGTGGACTGCGACTCACACGGCGCGGGGGCCATTGATCATCAAGAACCCCTGGGCGAAGCCTCAGAGCGGAACCGGCGACGTCATTATCAACCATAAGCAAAAACATCAAAACATCCGTATTCTTGGGACCATGTTTACCGCAAACAACGATTGCACCAACGAGGTGGGGAATCGCGTCACCAGGGCATGGGCAACCTTTTACATATACAAATACATTCTTACTTCAAAGTGCGGATCTTTGAAAGAAAGGTTGCTTGCTCTAAATCGCTATGTGGTTGCCGTGTCTCTTGTACAACGTCGGCAGTTTGAACCTCACGCAGCGCCATTTGCAGAGATTCCGGGCCACCGAAAATTCTATGCAGCGACGGGTTTTGAGCCTCAAGGTGCCCAACGAGTGGGGGGGCGGCACTGGCGATTAGTTGGCACTTTGTCATGTACACCTACAGCGATACCGACAAAAGTACAAGTTGGAACGCTGGCATGTTAGTGCTTTGTCTCGAGTGTTCGACTGGGCGGGACATGTAGGGCGATTTTCAAAATGGGCACCGGAGCGGCTCGCACACAAAGCATAGGTGCATCGCGGTGGGGCTTATTTGCAAACGCTGGAGAATATCCAACAAGCACACGGGCGTAAGTTCAAAGTGTGGCGGTGGGAACAACAATCTACACGAGTATTCGGGCAGGATTGGATACATCTCGCGTGGGACAGCGAGGACTGGGCTTCATTAGGATATGCATGGATAGCGCGTCGTACATCATGGCGCAAGCAGTAGTTCACTTAACCTGATAGGACCGCATCGCCAGGCCGCCCTGTGCTTACCAAGGCAGCGTCAAACGAGTCGTTGCCCGGGGGAGGAGGGGTTCCTCCCTAGGTTGTTTCCAGGTGTTGGGGAGTGGGGGGTTGAATTCCATCTTTAGGAGTTGTTTCAGGGGGTGCAGTTGCTTCCTGGTTTTTCACCCCCCTTTTGAGAGGACATTTCGGGCCAGCGACGATGAATCGCGCTCCTCGTATGATGGCCTTGGTGATTCCAATCGTGAAATGTGCATAAGGGTCCCCGCATAGGAGGTCTCCTAGAGACCTCTCCCAGACCTCCCCCCAGCCTGGGGGGGGGCCTTCCGGAGCCCCCCCCCCAGCGTGGGGGAGGTCTGGTACCGGACCTCCCGTGGTCCTCCTCCACCACGGACCTGGGGCGGAGGCCCTCCCCACCCCCAGGCTGGGGGGAGGCTCCCCCCAGGCGCCCCCCGGGCCTGGGGGAGGCCTCCAGAGGCAGGGCCTCCCAGAGGTATGGGCGGAGCCCAGCGGAGGCCCCTAGGAGTCCTCCCCCCCGGCCTCGGGGGGGAAGGCCTCCCCCAGGAGTGTCCTGCGCGACCTGGAGAGACCCTCACCAGGGAAGGCCTCCAGGAGTGTATTCTATGGGGGTGAGAAACGTCGGCGAGAGGTGTAACTTCACCCCAGCCTGGGGCGAGGCCACTCCTTTTTTTTCCGGAGGCCCTCCCCTGGTCCTCGTGGAGGCTATATGTGAGAGGCCTCCCCCCAGACCTGGTGGAGGACCAGGGGAGGCCTCCGGGAGGCCTCCCCCCAGGCTGGGGGGAGGCCTCCCTCCAGACCTCCCACAGGACCAGGGGAACTCTCCCGGAGACCCCCGGGAGGTTTTTCCTGAGCAGGGGAGGTCTCCAGGAGAACCAGGGGAGGTTTGCCGGAGGCCTCCCCCCAGCCTGGGGGGAGGCCTGCAGGGTCGAAACGACCCGCATGTTAGGGTCAGCCCGTCCCGACTCGTCTCGATTGTTAGGGTCCGCCCTCTTGGCCCGACCCGATCCGCTCGTTCGGGTACTCGCGTGACAGGTCGACGATGTATTAAATTTTATAACCCGCCCGATCCGACCCGACCCGACCTCGCCCACCCATTAGGGCCGGCCCGCCCGCCCGGCTTGACCTGCCCGTTACGGTGCGCCCGCGCGGTCCGACCCGTTCTGCTTGTAAGGGGCCCTTAAGTGCAGCGGGTCTGCTCCTCCTTCGGGGTTTAGGGTTTAGGGTTTAGGGTTTAGGGTTTAGGGTTTAGGGTTTAGGGTTTAGGGTTTAGGGTTTAGGGTTTAGGGTTTAGGGTTTAGGGTTTAGGGTTTAGGGTTTAGGGTTTAGGGTTTAGGGTTTAGGGTTTAGGGTCTTAGGGTTTAGGGTTTAGGGTTTAGGGTTTAGGGTTTAGGGTTTAGGGTTTAGGGTTTAGGGTTTAGGGTTTAGGGTTTAGGGTTTAGGGTTTAGGGTTTAGGGTTTAGGGTTTAGGGTTTAGGGTTTAGGGTTTAGGGTTTAGGGTTTAGGGCTTAGGGCTTAGGGTTTAGGGTTTAGGGTCTAGGGTCTAGGGTTTAGGGTTTAGGGTTTAGGGTTTAGGGTTTAGGGTTTAGGGTTTAGGGT